GTGATGTATACCCCTTTGTTTTCTTTTCTGCCTAAATTTGAGGTTTCGTTTTCCTGTTTGATTCTGTAGATCAAGTTCAGCAAGAAGATGTGTCTGGAGCACGATGAGAAGCTGATATCTTATCTCTCCATGCTCCGAGATATCGAGATGAGAATCAAACGGGTGCAGCCAGCAGAGCAGAATTTGGCAGCCCTTCATGACCTGCTGCAGCAAGCAGAGGTGAGCAGGGCTGGGCCAGGCTTGGCTGGTGTTAGGCAGGACAGAGTTTGTCCCCCTTCTCCCAGGTCCTGGAGAAAGGCAGGCGAGTGCTGGCAGCTGAGCAGGGCTGGAGGGGGGGGTGATGAATCTTTCTAGACGCAGTGTTTGGAGCTGCGTCTCCAAAACCTTTGCTCGGTTTTGGCAGCAGGAAGATGAAGTCACCCAGTCTTAGACATAACGATGCTGTCTTGCCTCAGGCCCTGGGCGCTGAGCTGCGGGAGCTGAGCTTCCCAGTGAATCAGGAGTTGGACGCCGTGAGGTGGATTGTGGCCAACCCCCCTGAAGAAGTCCCTGAGCAATTACTGAAGGCTTTGGAGAAGGATGCCAAGAACCTCCAGAAGTCTCTGAGCTCTGCGAATGATGTCCTGGAGTCCCGGCTGCAAAACCTTCGTGGGGCGGCAGAAAACGAAAAGGTAGAGCTGGCAAATGTGCCTGCTGCCCCCCCGAGCACCCCAAAACTCCTTCTCTAAGCGGTGCATTTCTGTTTTTAAGGCTAAAATCCTGGCACATCACGAGGCTCTTCAGGGCAAACTCCAGGAGCTGCTGAGCTGGGTCTCTGGCACCGCAGAGTCGCTGGATGACAGCGATTATCACCAGGCGACCGATTCGAACAGCTTGAGTCGCTGCCTGCACCACTACAAGGTAACCATGGCAATGCCCCTAATCCTTGAGGCTGATGAACTTGCTGCCCTTTGCATGGAGGAGAAGCTTTTAATCCTGCTTCCCTCCTGGAGCCTGCCAAGGGTTTGCCCTTATCCTGTGCTGCAGTAGGAGTGACTGTTCTGTATTTGCTCCAAGGTCACTTGTTTCCACAATACACAAAGGATCTGCTTTGGCTGCTCCACTGCAGATAGGTGTGTGGTGGGGGCTGAGTGACCAGGAATGATTCCCATCAGGCTGTTGAGGAAAGAGCTGCTTCCTCTGGAAGGGCTCTGAGAGCCCCCTCCATCACACCTGCCCTGGTCTCCATCACCTGTACAAGGAGCCTGGTCTCCCCTCCACATTTATCCATCTTCTGGTGAAAACTTTAAAGATATTATAAAGATATTTTCAAGTTCAGCATCTCCTGCTTGCTGGTAGCACCTTGGCACTGAAGTCAGTGGATCAAAGGCTTTGAGAACTGGTGGTGGCACATGGAGTCACTGCGACCTGTACACAGCTGGTGGCAGTTCCAGGCCTGGGTCATCTTCAGACCCAAGGGCAGCCTTGCATTTCTGCTCCAGGCAACCTCTTGGTGAGGTGCCTCCAGCACCTGGTGCAGAGGAACGTTGGAAAATCACTGCAGTGGGATGCTCTCACCTCCATGCTGAGTGTGATTTTGGGAGCATTTGGTGTTTCTGGAATGTATTTCTCACGGCAAAGCACTTGAAAATGGGAAGCAGCGCAGGCCAGCACTGGCTGTGGGGTCATTTTGCCTGATGGGTCTTTTCTCTCCCGTTCAGGAGCTGAAAGAGCCCCTCACCGACACCAAGTCTCAGCTGGACGCCACCGCCTTCGACATCCAGTTCTTCATCTCGGAGCACGCCCAGGACTTAACGCCCCAGCAGAGCAGGCAGCTGCTGAGGCTGCTCAACGAGCTGCAGAAGGCTTTCCGGGACCTGTCGGAGCGCGTGACGGCGCGGGCGGAGGTGCTGCAGGTCTGTCTCCAGCAAGCGGAGCAGACGGACCAGGTGAAGGTTGTGAGACATCTGCTCTCCCTTGGCTGCCCTTTGCTCGCTGAGGCGCTTTCCCGGCCGCAGGAACACGCGCCGAGACACCTTCTGTTTTGGGATTTCACGTGCATGCCGCTCACAGTTTGTGACTTCTCGTTGCACATCATGAGCTTCCTCTGAAAGTCTTCCTTCATCCCGCCATGTAGCTCCCAGGTGGAAAGTCTCCTTCCTCCCAAAATACCTGGAGTCCTCATGAGGTCTGGGTAGCGCAGCCCGGCAGCCCTCGTGGAGCTGCTTTGGACTGGATGGAATAAACCCCTGTAACCCTGCCAGAAATCCCTGTGCAGAGGGGCCACCACAGATACCCAGCAGTGCTAATGTCTTATTTCCACTGCACACGTTGCTGTCCCAGAGAAGGAGCTGACAGTGTATCAAGGACCAAAGCAAGTCCTCAGGTCTCTGCTGCACTGCTGCAGCACCCATCACTGCATGGATCCTCTTATTCAAAACAGGATTAATGTGTTTTTTATTAACAATTGCTCTCTGTAACTCTTGCCTGTCCCCTCTGGAGTGTGTGTGTGTATATTAACCAGTTTGCTTTGCCTTTTCAGATTGAGTGTGCGCCCATCCTAACCCAGGAAGAACTCGCTTTGCAGCTGAAGAGCTCTTAAGAAGGCTCTTTCAATTTGCTTCTGTTGTTTTATCTTATGACTGGGAGAAACAAGCACAGTGTTTTGCACAAGTTTGTACATCACCTTGCTGAAATGCTCAGTGAAAAACTCAGAAACCTTTTATCTCCCCTGGGAAAGGGGAACAGGGGTGTTGCAGGGACTCTCAGGTCACATCATGCTCAATTGCTCAAACAGGCGCTTCTGTGTTGTGCTCTGGCAGCAAAAGGAGGAGCTGGATCAGCAAAGAGATGCTTTTCCTCTCCAGGGCTCCTTCTCCAACCCCAGGATCATAAAAAACCAGCCTTTTTGGGTTGTCTTGGGCTCCACAGTGGTGCTGCCTAACTCAGATTGTTGTTACCTCTCTTTTGATGAGTTTCTGCTGCTGTTTTAATGTCTGTAACGTGGAATGCAAAAGGCACAGAAACTTGTGATCGAGTTTTCCTGGGAGAGGAGTGCAGCTCCACTTTGGAGCTCAACAGGCTCCTCAGAGAGAAACCTGCTCAAGTGGTGGCAAATGTGCCACCAGCTCGGCAGGGACGGGGCACCTGCAGCTGGAGAGGGAGAAGGAGCTCCTGGAGAGCCACAAAAGGCGTTTTCTGTGCTGCATCCTCATCTTCAGGAGCTGCTCCAGCTGTAACCTCTCACCTTGCCTTTCAGCAGTGTGAGTGGAGGTGCAGCACTGGTACTGACTGTCCCCTGTCCCCTTTCCTCTGCCCGCAGACGCTGCAGGAGCAGCAGGCAGCCCGGGCACAGAGCCTGGCTGAGCTGAGCCGCTGGCTGGGCCAGGCAGAGGACACGCTGACAGAGCAGCAGAGAGCAGAAGGGGACCTGTCTGCCCTGCAGCAGAGACAAAGTGATGTTAAGGTCAGTGCTGTAATTTAAAAAAAGGGGGGGCAGGAGGTGGAGGGGCTCGGAGGAGCGCTCGGAGCCTCACGGCATCGTCTGCCCAGGAGCTGCAGAGGAACATCCACACCCGAGCCGCCTCCTTCGCCAGCGTCCTGAAAAGCACAGAGGAGTTTTTGGAGGAGAACAAGGGCAAGATGGAGCCTGGGGAGCTGGCAGCACTGCAGGAGAACCTCCAGCGTGCCAAGGAGCAATACCGGTCCCTGCAGGAGAGGACAGAGGTGGCCCAGAAGGAGCTGGAGAGTGCTGTGAGTGCTGCAGTGCAGCAGGAGACTGAGAAGGTAATGAGCAAAGAGCTGTAGTCTCTGGGCTCTGCTTGAGGAGAAAAGTGAGGTCCAGTTGGAGTCCTTCAGCGTTCTGGCAGTTATCTGGGTGGTGCAGCTTAAAGCAATTTGTGGTCCCTTCCTGGGTGTCCCCCCAGGCAAGGTGTCCCCTGGACATTTCTGTCATAAAATACCTTGAGAGTTGCAACCATGGATGAGCTGGTTGTGGAGGAAATGGGGGAGAGAAAGGCCCCTTGCTCTGCCTTTAGGGTGACCTTCAGTGGGAGTGAGAATGCCAGTCACCTCCCTGTGCTGGTGGTGCAGGTGATGCTCCCACCTGGGTGTGTGGAGTTGCAGCCCTTCAGGGAGGGGACCCTGGGTTGTGTCGGGGTAAGAAATGCAGTGGAGCAGAGAGGCTGAATTTATTCACAGCTTCTTTGCACCTTCTAGAGAGCCACAAAAGGTTTTGGAGACCCGAGAGTGTGCCTGAGAGGCACTTTGCTGAGGCTGGCAAACTCCTTGGGTTTTTTCTTGTGTTGATTTGTGCCTCCCTCCCCCGTGCAGCAGTTTGCTGAACATGCAAAACCCGGTTCATTTTATCTGGGGCGTTTGTGCTTTCAGGTGAAAGCTGCCAAAGAGCTGGAGGAGAACAGCAATAAGATCGATTCCCTTTTGAACTGGGTGGCGTCGCTGGAGCAGAAGGGAGGGCTCCCGGAGTACAGACCTCACCCTGCCAAGCAAGAGGCAGGGACAGGAGCAGGGACAGGCTCTCGGGATGTCCCCGATGGCCACGTGGTTGGAGCAGACAGCGCTGCCGGGAGCCTGGACGAGCAATACGAGAGGCTGAAGGTCAGGACTGACACCTTGTCCCTCTCGAAGCTTTCTGCCCCACACACTGACCCTGCCTCCACTGCTGGTGCAGAGCTGGGAATAGAATGGGGTATTGGGTGCATCTGGCCCCTGGGACATGTGATTTTCCATATGGGAGGCTTGGAAAGTCCCTGCCTGACTTCCTGGTGGAAATACAGGCTGTGTGGTGGGTGGGTGCCTGGCAGGGTGTAATCAGGGTAATGAGAGAAGGTGCCAATCGTGGTCAGAGAAGGCAGAGCCCCTGTACGCCAGCCTGGGAGGTTCCCCACCTTGCTGGTGCTGTGTCATAGAATTCCAGACTGGTTTGGGTTGGAAGGGACCTTAAAGCTCACCTACTTCCAACCTCCTGCCATGGGCAAGGACGCCTTCTACTAGCCCAGGTTGCTCAGGGCCCCATCTGACCTGGCCCTGAACACTTCCAGGGATGGGGCAGCCAGAGCTGTTGGAGGGTGTGGAGGCTCGGTCACACTCGTGGTGGGCAGAGACCCTCTGTCACAAGCATCACCTTTGCTCGCTGGATCTTTCAGGCCCAGCACCAGGAGCTGCTGTCCCAGCAGCAGGACGTCATCCTGGCCACGCAGTCGGCTCAGGCTTTCCTGGACAAGCACGGCCACAGCCTGGCCAGGGAGGAGCGGGAGCGGCTCCAGGGCCAGCTGGCCGAGCTGAAGGACCAGTACTCAGCGTCCCTCTCGCAGTCAGAAACGCGGCTGAAGCAAGTGCAGGTCCTGCGGGACGAGCTGCACAAGTTCCTGCGGGACCACGGGGAGTTCGAGGCGTGGCTGACGCAGGCGGAGCAGGACCTGGAGGGGATGTCCAAGGGGGACGGGGACCCCGCGGCCCTGCGGCGGCTGCTCGCGCGCCAGGGCAGCTTCTCCGAGGACGTGATCTCCCACAAGGGCGACCTGCGGTTCGTCACCATGTCGGGGCAGAAGGTTCTGGATGTGGAGGGAGCTGCTGGGGACGCCGAGTCCCAGCTGCTGATGTCCAAGAGCGTGGTCAAGGGCAAGCTGGAGGACGCGACGCAGAGATACACCACGCTGCACTCCAAGGTATGGGAAGGGCTTTGCAGGGCTGGGAGTGGAACCCTGGGTGCTGTTTTCCAGGGGTGGCAGAGGGACATTTCACTTCAGTGTTTGGCTGGACTTCCAGGACATACGTAGATTGTAGGGCAAGGATTGTCTTCAGAGAATCATAGAATCGTAGGATCGACCGGGTTGGAAAAGACCTCTGAGATCATCAAGTCCAACCCTTAATCCAACCCTGCTGTGGTTACCAGACCATGGCACTGATGCCACATCCAGTCTCATCTTAAAAACCTCCAGGGACAATGAATCCACCACCTCCCTGGGCAGCCCATTCCAGTGTCTGATTACTCTCTGTAAAATATTTTTTCCTAATATTCAACCTAAACCTCTCCTGGCACAGCTTAAGACCGTGCCCTCTTGTCTTCTTCAAGGCTTGGGCAAGGCAGCACCTTTTAGCTTGGTGCTGGTCTGCATGCTGCCTCCTGTAACTACTTTAACATGTGGCAAGGTTAATGTTTTAATTAATTTTTTCTTTCTTGACGATTTCTGTGCCTTTTCCGTGGGTTGCCCACGGCCTCCCGTCATGTCTCGTTGCTCCTTTGCAGTGCTCCAAGCTCGGCTCCCACCTGAACACCTTGCTGGAGCACTACCAGCAGTTCCAGGAGGTGGCAGAGTCTCTCAGGACGTGGCTGCAGGAGAGTGAAGCTGCCATTGGGAAGCTGCTCTCAGAGACGGTTTCTTCAGATCCAGCTGTCCTGCAGAAGCAGCTCGCCAGCACGAAGGTACGGGAGCCTTTGCTGACCTCCTGGGAGGTGTTTGAGCCTGGATGGGAGTTTGGCTGCACTGAGCAGTCAACAGCAGGAAAGAGACTCTTCCCCATTGGATTTTTTTTACCGGTTGAGTGCAAAGATGCACCTGCAGATGCAGCAGGTCCTGCAGCTGCAGATCAGGTGGGGTCAGATTCTCGGGAAAGGTGCTCAGCCAGGATGAGGGGCTGCAGTCACAGACACCCCAGCAGGACATAGAGGAGGACATTCCTCCCCTGTGAGGGTGACTGGGTGCTGGGACAGCCCAAGCCCTCTGATCCAGCTCTGCCTGCAGCATGGGGTTGGACTTTCCAAGCGACATTATTATTTTTCTTAATGTTTTAGTGATTAATGATTAAGTGAAGAGGATCCCTCAGAGGGTTTAAATGGAGCCCTGAGCTCCCCGTGAGTGGGGGTCTCCTGCCTGACCCATCACTGATTTTGGCTTTTCTTGTCAAAGCAGCAGCTGCAAGGAGACCTGGCTGAGCACCAGGTACCAGTGGAGAAGCTCCAGAAAGCAGCTCGGTCCCTGCTGGAGATACAAGGAGAGCCAGCCCCTGACCACGGGCATATTCGGGAAACAACAGGTATGGAGCAAAGCAGCTGCCATTGTCAGCAAGGTTGGTTGGGGAGAGTGAAAACAAACCAGGGAGGGAGCAGAGATGAAGTTTCCTACTTTTGGGGAGGAAAACACACAGCAGTGCATCCTCAGGGCTGCACTTGGGAAGGGCTTTGACAACATGTGTTGGGTCCCCTGTCTCACTGCTGCGTTTGGGGGCAGGGATTTGTTGTCAGTGGAAATTCTGGAGGAACCAAAGGTGGCCCTCACTGCTCTCTGAGCACTTTGAGCTCTTTGCCACTGATTCTCCTTTGTGCTGAACTCTGCAGATGCCATCGTGAGCCGGTTCCAGAGCCTCTCCCAGCAGATGTCCGAGCGCTCGGACCTGCTGCAGAAATCCATCGCCCAGTCCCAGAGCGTCCAGGAGAGCCTGGAGAGCCTCCTCCAGTCAGTGGCTGAGATTGAGAAGAACCTGGAGAGAGACCAGCCGGCTGAGCTGTCCTCCACCTCCATCCAGGACTCTCTTGCCACGAGCGTGGTAAGGCTGGGCCCAACTCCCTCACCTCAAACACACCTGTGCAGGACCTGCACTGTGCAAGGGGTTACTGGGGTTTAAGCCACAGTGTTTTGAAAACACCAAAAAAATCTTAAAAAGGGATATGAGCAGAACCTTTGCTTAATATAATAGAACCACAAAATGATTTGGGTTGGAGGGGACCTGAAAGACCATCTCGTTCCAACCTCCTGCCATGAACAGGGACACCTTCCACTAGGCCAGGTTGCTCCCATCCAACTGGGGCATTCACAGCTTCTCTGGGCAATCTGTGCCTGGTCACAGACTTGTTGGAAGTCTCCTTTTTTCTTTGCTAACAAGTCAGGGTTTGATTTCAGGCACAGGGGGAATGCAGAGCAGGTTGGGGAGATCAGAAAGGGAGGGAAAAGCAGGGTAGAAAACTATTCTTTCCCTCCCCTGGTTGTCTCAAAGCACATGCTGCTGCTCCCACGGGCAGCCCAGCCAGTTCACACCAGTTTTGCTCACGAACCTCCCTAAAATGCCCTCCCTCTCCACGTGTGCCCACCACAGAAGCTGAAGCAGGACATCGCCCGGCAGAAGAGCTGCCTGGAAGCCACCCGGGAGATGGTGACGCGGTTCATGGAGGCCGCAGACAGCCCCACGGCCTCCGCCCTGCAGGACAAGCTGGCCGAGGTCACGGAGCAGTTTGGGAGGCTGTGCCAGCAGCAGCAGGAGCGGGAGGATGCCCTGAAGGGCCTCCTCCCCAAAGTGGAGCAGTACGAGCAGCTCTCGGAGAAGCTGCAGCAGTTCACGGAGAGCAGAACGCGGATGTTGGCGTCCGGGAACCAGCCGGACCGGGACATCGCCCACTTCTCCCAGCACATCCAGGTGAGGAGCAGGGGCAGAAGGCTCTGCCTGCGGTGGGTTTCTGAGGCAGGACCTCTGTGGGCTCTTTGCCTGCAGGAGGGAGTGTGGCTGGAGTGGATGAGGCTGTTTCCAGCAGATAGAGAAGGAAATGGCATTTCCCAAGAGTCACACTGGTTTTTAGATGGGACCTCTAGGAAGGCTTTTAGGGACCAGTCCAAATGTAGCAGGGTCTTACCAATTAAAGACTCTAATACAGCAAAATTCCCATGTGCTGGCAGTGAGCTTGGTAAAGGATGGGACAGTGAGCTTGGTAAAGGACAGAGCCAGAGAATCATGGAATATTTTGGGTTGGAAGGAACCTTAAATATTATCTCATTCCAAGCTCCCTGTCATGGACAGGGACATCTTTCACCAGACCAGGTTGCTCAGGGCCTGCCCTTGAACACTTCCAGGGATGCCATGGGTTGTGGTGGCTGGTCATGGCTGTGCAGGATTCCTCCCTCTGGGTTCCTACAAGTGCTCTGCTACAGGGGATGGTTCATCCACAGCCTCAGAAATGCCCTAAGGTGGCATAAAACCAGACACTTGTGCTGGGAGTGGTGTGGGTGATTTGGCTCAGTCTAGGGCACCCCATCCCATCCCAGTCACAGTGTGGCCTTACACCAGCACAGGGGAAGGTGAGACTTGCTCCTGCAGCTCCTTAAAGTATTTGCTGAGCTGGATTTGGAGGAGCAGGTGGGAGTGGGTCATACCTGGCACAGCTGCAGTCCATGGCACTGGAGCCATCCATAGCACTGCCCACAGAGTCTCTCCAGATCACCAGAGCGTGGGACTGTCCAGTTCATCCCCTCTACCTGTGTCTGCTGGTGGGGAACATGACCAGCATCGCCCTTTGCTCTTGGCAGGAGCTGAATTCAGAGATGAGGCAGCACCAGGAGGACCTGACCACCCTGGAGCACCTGGCTGCAGAGCTGAGCTCCTGCGGCTTCGCCCCTGGTGCCTTCCAGCAGCAGGAGAAGCTGCAAAGCCTGAAGAAAGACTTCCTGCAGCTACAGAAGGTGGCAAAGGAGAGGTGAGTCCCAGGGGCCCGGCCACTCCCTGGGGTGGTGGTCTGGGGGTGGCTTCATGGCCTGAGCAAGACCCTGGGGAGGTCTCTGTTCCAAGGGGGGGCACGAGCAAACTCTTCCTGCCACCCTCCTCCCATGCCAGGAGCCGGAGGCAGCTCGATCCAGCTGACGCTTTAAAAAAAGCCTTGGCTGGGGGCGTTGGGAAAAATTCCTGGTGCTGCAGGAGCCGGTGTGATGCGTTTCCCGGCGTGTGGGCTGCCACAGCTCCACCCCAGAGCATCTTGCAGGAGGGGAGCGGGGTGCTGGCAGAGGATCAGGAGCGTGCTCCAGGAGGGGACAGAGCCCAGCAGAGTTCCCTGAAGTCGGGATAAAGCAGAGGTTGAGCTCAGATTGGCCATGGCAGCTTGAGCAGGGTCAGAGCAACAACATCCCTGGGGGTCACAGCTCTCTGGCTGTGTCTCCAGAATCCCTGGGGAACACAGGGAAGGTGATGGGGAAAAGCAGATGAAAGTCACAACAATCCCCAGTAATTCAGCGCTCTGCAGGCTGCTCGCAGCTGCAGTCAGCAGGGATGAGCCAGAGGGGCCCATGGCTCCCATCCGGGGGCTGCCTTGTTCCTCCAGGATGGGCTGAATAGATGGAGCTGTGGCCAGGGAGGAGGGGCAGCACAGCCTGGGCTCCCCAGGGATGCAGCTGCCTGGGGGGACACGACATGAATGAGCCCTGTCATCCCCAAAGCTTCGCTTTTCCCAGGACAAAGAGCCCGGTGCAGAGGCAGAGCAGGTTGGCAGTGGTGGTCCCACGGCTGTTGGCTACCACTGTGCTGCCCAAAAGTGCCACCAGCCACGATCTGGGGGGTCAGCAGCAGTGAGAGGCTGGCACTGTGTGCACCCCGTTCTGGCTGGCACTGCCTGGGCTGTTCCCAGGCAACATCTAATAATAATAATTAAAAAAAGGGCTCCTAGAGACACAACTGTGCTGCATTCAGGAGGGGGTAATTGCAAGGCAAAGCACGAGCTCTGACTCTCTGAAACCTTTTCACTCTCAGAGAAAAGGATGCGTCGTCCTGCCAGGAGCAACTGGACGAATTTCGGAATCTGGTTGGCGCCGTGAGGAAGTGGCTGAGGGAGAGCGAAGGCAAAATGCCGCCTGCTGAGACCTCCCTGGGCACCCAGGAGCTGCACCAGCGCAGGCAGCAGGTCCAGGTGGGGCAAAGGGAGCTGGAATCTGACTGGAAAAAATTGGCAGCTGGTGTGGAAATGCTGGAATGTGGAATAAATTCCAGGAAGCAGAGTCCTGGGAGGTGGTTTGTGGTCTCAGGAATCCTCGCTGTGCATCCAGTGGCTTGCGGAGAAGGGAGCAGCGTGAGATTCCTCTCGGGCACTGCCTGGTTTCCCTTCCCTCCCCCTGCCTGCTCTGGGCGGGATTTGGGAGTGGGAGACCCAAGCACACTCGTTTTCTCTGAGTGTTTCCCCGTGGCAGACATAGAAGGTGGCCTCCTGTCACCCGAGCCCCCGCTCCCCTCCGGCACAGGGATGCTGCAAATCGGGATGTGCCAAGGGATTGACTCAGAGGCAGAGCAGCTCTGCTGAGTCACCCACATCCCTCGCACCCCACGGCACCCGCCGGGCTCCGGCTGGGCTCAGCCGGGCTGGGCTGTGCAGGGAGGAGGAGGAGGGACGTCCCCAAAATGGTGGGAGGGAGAAGCTTTCCTTCAACAGACCCATTAGTTAAGGAAGAGCTTTTCACTCCTTCATTCCCCTGGCAAAAATAGATGTTTCACACCCACTCTCCCAGCACGGCCTCTTTGCCATGCGCTGGTTCCCTGGGTGCTGTGTCCTGGTGTCACCGTGTCACCTCAGAGGTGACAGGTGAGGAAGGGAGGGCTGTGGCCGGGCAAGCACGGCCTCCAATCCCAACCTTTGCTTTCAAACAGGATCTCCTGGAGGAATGGAAGGGGAAGGGGGCCCAGGTGGAGGAGATTGGCCGCAGAGGGACCCTCCTGGAGAATCTGATCGTGGAGATTACGGCCCCCAACACCCCACCCAAAGCAGGTGAGTTATAGCCCACTCTCCTGAGGACACCTCATTCCTCAGCACTCCACTGTCTCCACTGCATCTTCTGAGCCTGCCTTGAGCAAAAAATGGGGCTATTTCCCCCTTTTAACCAAATTCAGAGGGCCCATGGCAGTCTGAGTATCGTGGGGCTGAAAGTGGTTGAGTCACTGGTGCTTGTTGCATTAATGCATCAGCCTAACTTGGCTTAATTAGTTATAGCCTAACGAACTCTGAATTACCCTGTGTTTGCTGTGGGGACACATATAACTGCTTGGATGGAGCATGAGAGCTCCATGAGATGGAGCATGAGAGCTGGGGGTCTGGGCTGTCAGCCCTGCAGGGAGCTCGTGGAGGTGGCTCTTTGCTTTCTCCTGGTGATGTGCTTCAGCCTCCTGAGGGCTGGAGTGTTTTAATCAAACTCCAGCATTTGGGTTTCATATCTGGATGACATTTAAGGCTGCAATATTCAGATGTGATTTGCTGGTCTCCTTTTTGGCTTCAAGTCTGTGAAGCAATGAGAATATGTCTGGTTTGTTTGGAAACCAACTCCAAGATGTCTTCCAGCTTGTGAAAACAAGTCCCTGGACTCTCGTTGTTGTTGGGAATTTGTGGGAATTCACAGTCTGGATATGTTTGTTAGGATTAAGTTCATGAGAAGTTCTTTGGGAAACCTCCAAGAGAAGTGAGGAGAGGCTTGTTGTGGGTGACTCCCATGGTCACCCCATGGGGTGACCAAAGGTGCAGCCCCTTATATCCATGAAAACTTTAAAAAATGTGGTTAGAAAGAGAGACTTACCTGGCAATGTGAATCCCCCTTTGGTTGTGACCATAGCTGTGACATCTGGTGTCCAGGGAAAGGACAGTGGTGCATCCTCCCTGGAGTGTCTGGGCAAAGAGAGCATGTCCACACACCAAGGCAGGCTTGAATAGTTTCATCCCATAAGAAAAGGAGGATATGGGGGAGTTAATCCCTTCAGGGAAGGCATTCACCAGTCTCACAGGGTACAATTCACAAAATCATGCTCAAGGTAGCAACTTTCCAGGCGTGGAGAGGTGGCCAGTGGTCCCCAGTGGTCCATGCAGGAGCTGCATCCACCCAGGTTTCTGGGTGATGTTGGGAGAGGTGCCCAGCTCCCAACAGCTTCAGCTCTTCTGCTTCTGGTCCAGCAAGGCAGGATGAGCTCCAGGAAAGCAAGGGGAGAGGGAGGAGGAGAGATGGAGGGACTCCAAATGGAATTAATGCCGATTGCCCGGCACCGGGCGTGTGGAGACACCGCGTCTGTGCTTGGTGGCCGGGGTGGTCTGTGCCATGGACCGTGTTCATCGCTTGCTGTCTGCATTCCTAACACACCTGTCTTATCCCTCTTGTCCCTTGTCTCCGTCCCCCCTGCTCAGGTGCCGCGCTGCCCGTGCCGGGAGGGTCGGTGGGCAGCGTGAACGGATACCACACGTGCAAAGGTGAGCTCGCGGTCCCCGCTGTGCCAGCACACACCCCCCGAGCCCTGTCCCTGCCTGTTCCTGTCTGTGCAGTTCCGTCTGTGAGAACAGAAACCTCAATCTGACACTGTCATCCTGGCGCAACGGGAATGAGCTTGGCAGTGGGCTGGGAATTCTCAGCCGGAGCCGCGGGGATGGAGGATGGAGGTCGGGCTGAAGGACAGAGCGGGGCGGCTTTGGGGAGCGACAGCACCCTGACACCCCGTCAGGTGGTGTTAAGAGCTGATAAATGGGAGATCATTTTAAGGCCTGCAATTAAATTTATTGGTTCTACGGGATTATAACGGCATCCAACCCTCCAGTTTGAAGAGCAATTTTAATTATGGCCCGTTATCTGCTGTTAGCTCACCGGTTCAGCGAGATAATAGGGGCATAAAAATGGCTTTATATTTCGGTGTCAAATTGTTTAACCTTGTATTAGCAGTGGCATTATGAAGGGGGGGCTCAGCTTGCATCAGGCTCACATCCACGGAGGCATTTGCTTTGTTTGCAAACTGTCAACGTGTATATGTGGTGCAAGTGGAAAAGCCCCTCTGGCAGGAGAGGTGAGGATGATGTGACATCGCTCCGCAGGCAGACGGATGGAGCATGGCCTCTTGCTTCTCATGCTTGGCTGGCTGTGGCTGCCCAGGGCTAGATTAGAACCTGATAGTCCAGGTTAAGATGGAGAACACGGGCAGTGGTCCTCATCTCAGGCTGCTTTTTGGAAACAGATCTGACTGAGATCCAGTGCGACGTCTCGGATGTGACCCAGCAGTACCAGGCCCTGGGCACGGCGCTGAGGGAGCGGCAGCAGCAGCTCTCAGCTATGTTGGAGAAAATGCAAGAGGTGCAGGAGGAGGCCAGCTCGATGCTGAAGTGGCTGGAGTCGAAGGAACGGACGCTGTCAGAGCTGGACGCCTCCTCCTCGCCCACCAAGACGGAGACAATGAGAGCCCAGGCTGAGCACAACAAGGTAACTCCTTTTCCTGAGTTAAAAATGAGAATCGTAGAATCACAGGATGGTTTGGGCTGGAAAGGACCTTAAAGATCATCTTGTTTCAATCCCCTGCCATGCATCTCCCAAAGGATCTCAGAGGTGTGCTTTATTGCAGCGGGACCAGAAGGATTAGTCATAAAGGTCTGCCCTGGCTTTAAGAAGGGCATTCCCAGATCAGATGTCCCAGGCAGAGCTCCCTGGAGCAGGAGCCCAAAGTTCCCCTTTGCTTTTAGACATGTTGCTTTCAGGCATTTGGCTCAGGGGAAAAGAGCTTATCTGGAGCCCTTGTTGCTGGGTCACTCCAGCTTCTCCTGGAAAGCAATTCCCAGCCTTTCCCTGCTCTAGGAGCCAAGTTAGCTCACAATATCACTGACAAGTTAATTTAATTAAAGAGCAAAGAACAGAAATTGTCCAACTGTGGCTTGTAGCTGCTGCTTTGTTCCTACTCCGTGTTTTGATCCTTTTACCCTATATCTGAGGAATTTCAAATCATTATTTTCCAGGCATTTCTGGCTGAATTGGAACAGAATTCTGGGAAGATCCAGAAGGTAAAGGAGGCACTTTCTGGCTTGCTGGAGAAATATCCAGATTCTCCAGAAGCAGCGAACTGGAAGAAGATGCAGGAAGACCTGAGTAAGTGCCTGAAGCACTTAGTGAGGCTTCTGTCTCCAAACATCACGTTAGAAGCGGTTCAGGAGTGTGGGACAACCCCAAAGTCACGGCAGAGCAGAGTCACTTTTAATTAATATTCAGTAAATAGCAAACTTATCTCAGAGCTGTCTGGTGTACAAGGTGTTCCTGAGAGGAGCACTGTTGTGATTAACGAAATCTCTGTGATGGATGTGGATTTTAAAGATGTGCCTCCTTAAATTGCTGCTTTAAAAAAAAAAAAAGATAAAAAGGCAAAAAAAAAAAGCGTTAGTGACATGGGTTGATTATTGTGATTAAAAACTTCACTACTTGATATAAAATTCTAGTCATTAGTGAGGCTATCCCAGGCAATTAAATGTTGACTAAACAAGGCTGTGTGTTTAAAAAGAAGCCCAGAGATTCTCTTCTTTGAAATAGCAGGAACGTGTTTATGGAGTTCTCCATCCAGGAGATCTGCATGTGCTGTGTGAGGACTGATACACAGGAGAGTATCCTCATTTATCGAGCCAGGGATGTGAGATGGCTCACTCAAGGTCAGACCAGCTCATGGCAGTAGTGACTAGAACACAGAAATCCTGCTTGCAAGGTTTTTCCTTGGGAGCTTCAGGACTATGTAGCCATTAGAACTGGATAACGGCTTGTTAGAGAGTGAATAGAGCCACGCTAGTTTTACTGGAAAACTGAGGAGGTTTCCCATGGGGAAAACCATGGGAAAAGGGGAAAAAAACCTGCTTGATGGAGGGGTGGGCTGGCCAGGAGCATGACCATGGCCAACACAGCCGGTGCTTCAGATTGCAGGTGGGAAAGAGCCAGCCAGGCGACGGCCGAGCGGCAGCAGAAGCTGGAGGAGTCGGCGAACCAGCTGGCCACCTTCCAGGCTGCTGAATCCCAGCTGCGCCCTTGGCTCATGGAGAAGGAGCTGATGATGAGCGTGCTGGGACCCCTCTCCATCGACCCCAACATGCTGAACGCACAGAAGCAGCAGGTCCAGGTGAGGCGGGTTCACATCTCCTCGATGGGTGTCCATGGAGGGGGAGGGTGTCTCGCCCAGATATGAGATGATGGAAGATTGCAGTTGGAATTATTTGTCTTGCAAGCACTCTGGAGACCTCATGGCTCCTCTCCCAAGTCCTCCCAACTGAGCCCAAACTGCTGTGAATAACTTAAAATGGGTGCAGTGCCCAAGCTCCCTTCCCCGTGCTGGATTGACTCATCAATGAATCACTTGGCCCCTCTTGGAGAGTGAAATTGCTTTAAACAAGACCTGTGCTGATGCTCTGCAGGACTTGCTAATTCTGTCCCTCCTCCTGCCAGCCTGCTCTTTCCATACCTCCTGCTTCCAAATCCTAACATGTCCGTAACAGGCCACATCATGAAGCAAAAAGCCCCAGTTAACATAATCAGATTGCCTTCTCATCTAACTGGTTTATGTTACATTACGCAGCAGTAAGACAAATAAGAGAAAGAGCAAAGTCCTGGAGCTGCAGACCCCTCCCAGCTTTTTAACTTCCAAGGTCACAATAAATCCTGGCCTACCCAGCCCAACGGCTGTCCCACCCAAAGGCTTGTTCCTGCTCATTCCACGGGCTGGATAAAGCCCCTGGAGGTCTGGTTTGTTTTGACTGTGTGTATTCGGAGCTGTCAGTTTTATGCAAACATTTTTATGTTATTTCTGTTCCCAGTTTATGCTGAAGGAATTTGAAGCCCGCAGACAACAGCACGAGCAGCTCAACCAGGCAGCTCAGAGCATCTTGACTGGCCCTGGAGATGTTTCTCCATCCACTAACCAGGTGCGGGATGAGCTCCAGGGGGTTAATCAGAAATGGTCCGAGCTAACAGAACGCCTCAACTCCCGCTCCAGCCAGATTGATCAAGCCATAGTAAAGAGCACCCAGTACCAGGAGCTCCTCCAGGGCCTCTCAGAGAAGGTGAAGGCAGTTGGGCAGCGCCTGAGCAGCCAGTCTGCCATCAGCACACAGCCCGATGCCGTCAAACAGCAGCTGGAGGAAACCAGCGAGATCCGCTCGGACCTGGAGCAGCTGGAAGAGGAGATTGCAGAGGCTCAGACCCTCTGTGATGACCTCTCCGTCCTGATTGGGGAGCAGTACCTCAAAGATGAGTTAAAGAAACGTCTGGAGACGGTGGCACTTCCTCTCAAAGGGCTGGAAGATTTGGCAGGTGAGACACTTAGGAGATATTGGAATGTCGAGCTCCATCCCTGCTCTTTGCCAAAGGGCTCTCCCATCCCTGGATTTCTAAGAATAGTAGGGAAAGCACCATTTATCATTTTTTTGGGGTGCTTCATAGGTGTTTTATCTGGGACCAAGCACGAGAGAGTTCAAACTCCAGACATACCTGAGCCTGGAGAGGGAACAGAGGTGTTTAGTCCCACAGATGTGACTCTTCAACAAGCACTGTGGCATGTGCTTGGAAAAAAAACAGGTTCCTAAATTCAGAGTGGGGCATGGAGGAGCCCCAGTGGCCACTCTCTGATCTGGGGACACGTCTTCTGGTTTCTAAGAAGTTGCATTTAGAAACTGGTCAGGAGAACCGAGACAACCGTGTTATCATTGCCTCTTACTACTTAAGAAATTTATGAATTAGTGAGCAAAAAGGCTGGTGATGCAATGGAAAACTCCTTCCTGTTAATCAAAACACAGTTGGTACATATGAGATGATTTTAAATAATTGCACTTTGCTTATTTGATTTCAGCTTAATTGTCGCCTTCTAATCTTATTCCCATTCCAGCCGACCGGATGAACCGACTCCAGACTGCACTTGCGAGTTCCCAGCAGTTCCAGCATATGTTTGATGAACTCAGGACCTGGCTAGATGACAAACTGTGCCAGCAAGCTCAGAGCCAACCGATTTCTGCTAAACTGGAGAGGCTACAGAGCCAAATTCAGGAACAAGAAGAGTTCCAGAAGAGCCTCAACCAACACAGTGGCTCCTATGAGATGATTGTAGCCGAGGGAGAATCTTTGCTGCTTTCAGTCCAGCCTGGGGAGGAGAAGACCACTCTGCAAAACCAGTTGGTCGGCCTGAAAACACACTGGGAAGAGCTCAGCAAACAGGCTGCTGATAGACACTCTAAGCTCAAGGACTGTTTGCAGAAAGCTCAGAAGTACCAACGGCACACGGAGGATCTCCTGCCATGGGTGGAGGACTGCAAGGCAAAGGTGGCAGAGCTGGAGGTAACTCTGGACCCAGTGCAGCTGGAGGCGACTCTTCTGAGGTCAAAGGCCATGCTGAGTGACGTGGAGAAGCGCCGGTCCTTGCTGGAGATGCTGAACAGTGCTGCCGACATCCTGATCGATGCTTCCCAGACGGATGAGGATGACATCCGGGATGAGAAGGCTGGCATCAATCAGAAGATGGATGCCATCACAGAAGAGCTGCAAGCCAAGACTGGCTCCATTGAAGAAATGTCCCAGAGGCTCAAGGAGTTTCAAGAGAGCTTCAAGAACATTGAGAAGAAGCTGGAAGGGGCAAAGCACCAGCTGGAGATCTACGATGCCCTGGGGCCACAAGCCTGCAGCAACAAGAATTTGGAGAAGCTCAGGGCACAGCAGGAGGTGCTGCAGGCCCTTGAGCCGCAAGTGGATTATCTGAAAAACCTCACTCAGGGTCTGGTAGAAGATGCTCCAGACGGATCCGACTGTTCCCAGCTCTTAAGCCAGGCTGAAGTGGCTCAGCAGGACTTCAAGGCTGCGAAGCAGAAAGTGAACGACTGCTGTGCGCTCATGGAAAACAAGCTGGAAGGGATCAGCCAGTTCAATAATCGGGTCAGGGAGATGTTCTCTCAACTGGCGGACCTGGACGATGAGCTGGACAGCATGGGCCCCATCGGGAGAGACTCCGACAGCCTCCAGTCCCAGGCCGAGGACGTCCGCGCCTTCCTGGGCAAACTCCACAGGCTGAAGTCGGACATCGAAGCTTCCGAAAGCGAGTGCAAGAAGATGCTGGAGGAAGAAGGGAGCCCTGATCTATTAGGACTGAAACGGGAGCTGGAGACGCTGAACAAACAGTGCAGCAAACTGACAGAGAGGGGCAAGAACCGGCAGGAGCAGGTGGAGACGACGCTGTCCCGCGTCGAGGACTTCTACGGCCGGCTGAAGGAGCTGACCCACATGACAACGGCGGCCGAGGAGAACGAGGCCTTGCAGTGGGTGGTGGGAACGGAGGTGGAAACCATCAACCAGCAGCTGGCAGACTTCAAGGTAAGTCTTGATGCTGTGATGTTGGGGTTTTTTTAAGTGGTGTTTGGTGTTCTGAGGGCCTGCCTGGTGTTGTGGGGGTTTTTTTTTGTGTGGGACCTCTGGGCTCCGAGCCATCACGCCTTTGTTGTTTGTTGCTGTAATTCGAGTGGGTTTGGTGGCTAAAACATTCCTTGCTGTGGAGAGTGTAAGATCAACTGGTGGACTTGGTAGTCTGTGGTGAAAAGGTGCAGAAAGGTTTTGCGACTGGGAGGAAAATCCCTGTTCTCCTGGTGATGTGTAATGCTGATGTGCCAACATCTCGTGGGCTGGTAAAGGTGGTTGACATTTAGGTTTTTGGGGGAGGGAGGGAGGGATGGTTCTGAGTCCATCTGAGCTGTGAGTTGGCAACATTTGAGAGTCTAGTCCAGATCAGAGCGTTCTGCAGGTCTTTCTACCTGGCCTACCATTCTTGCTTGTTGTTCACTTTTTACATCCACATTTTACATGCATTTTGGGGTTCTTGGGTACAAATACAGCCACAGATAAACTGTGGGACAAGGGGTGCACACAGGAAGTAAAACCAAGGTGAAGTTTTATGTGGGCTGTTCACGTTTCCAGCAAGGAGTTGATGGGGACCATCAAGACTTGCATGAAATGCTGTGAGAGGGAAGAGTTGGAGTGTGTTTGATATATTTTTATACAGTATTATGATGTTGGGTCATGCTGTTACACTACATTAATTATATTAATACAGCTTAGAAATTCTCTTGCTGTGAAACTTCTATTCCTGATGTGCTCAGGAGCTGATGATTGGGCTGATTTACATCTGGCTGCTCGTTTCCTGGTGTTAATGGGGGGCGGGAGAGGAAGGCAGTTTTACAGCCATTTACTTTTCATCTCATGGCTAATTGATCCCGTTCCACCGCTTTAATATGTCTGTGAAACCTTCACCAGGACAAGGTGTTTCTGGTTTTGGGGTTGCCTATCTGAAAAATAGCTATAAGTGTTATTTATGGGACAAACTCAGCCTCATCTGATGGTGTTGCTGTCTTGTGCTGGGCAGCGCTTTGCTTTGGGCTGATATCGACGGGAAGGATTTAACTTCAAATCATTAAACACCACACAGTCGCTTGGAACAAATATATCCAAAAAGGAGTTTTTAGGACTTAAAATCGGTGAACCTTTCCTGCAGAGCAAGGGATTATTCCCGGCTGAGCAGCTCCCATTAGGAACGATGACGAAACCCAGATTGCTGGGCTGGCCGGGCTTGCAGGAGCAGCTTAACCCATCACAGGGGTTTGCACATGGTCTGTGTAGCTCAGTGACCTTGAGGATGACCCTGTAAGACACAGCTGACCTGGGCTGCATGAGCCCAGGGTGCTCTGGGGGCATGAGGTGTCCTTACCAGGAGTCATTTGTTGGCCATCGAGGCCACGGGGTGCACTTGGGGTGTGTGTTGGTGGGAGAGTGAAAGTTGCAGCAGGGAAGGGAGGGTTTTGCCTTGTAATGGCTGAGAATAAAATGGGGGAGAAGCACGAGGGGTGGATGGAGCAATTGTGGTTACGCAGCAGCATTCCTGCGTTCCTCCCATGCACGGTTCATCCAGGGAGCAAGGATTTCTGCATCCAGAGAGCAGGGATTTCTGCACAAATCCTAAGTGTTGCAGAGCAGATCTTAGCAAAGCTTCACCTTCCAATCCTCTCTAAGGAGGAGCTGGAATCTCCCTGAATCTGTTCTGCACAGGAAAGGGCATTGGCAGGGACTGTCTGTCCTCTGTACGTGCAGGAGGGAGAGAGGTGGAGAAATCTGGCTTGGGCTCTGTGGGAAGTGGGGAGCATGGGGGGGCTTCCCTTGGTTGTACCAGGCTTTTATTTCTCAATGAATTGTCTCTCTAAGACAATATCACAACTCTTTTTCCCTTCTTGGCTTGCAAACCAGATGCATGCCTGGAGTGTCCAGGGGGACCAGAAGAGCTCCTCAGCCAGGCAGTGCTCCTGGGGGTGGCACTGGGGGGAGGATGGGGTGATGGATGGGGTGATGGATGGGGTGACTGGGGCTCTCCAGGAGCGGTCGCAGTCTGTCTGTCCAGGAGGCTCAAATGCAGGCAGATATTATGTCTTAAGGCATTAATTTTAATGAACATCTGTGTAAATGAGATGCAAATTAGGCATGGCCCCAGGGCTCCAGGCAAGTTGCCAATGAAGTCCTGACAAAGGTGGGCACTTCTGGACTCATTGTGTCCAGATTTTAATAAAGAAGATATATTGAAGGCTCTGATGGAGGCCGGGAACAGATGACTTTCGAAGCAGCTTATGTTTGAAGCATCCCATGTATTTTTCCTTTCCTGCAAACATCCCTTAAACTTGCCCCAAAAGGCCACAACCTCCAACAAACCCTTAACTTTTGGAAAACTGCCATCCATGCATTTCCTTTCCTTCCCCCCCCCCCCCAAGCCCCTTTCCCAGGTCACAGAGGGACTAATCCTGGCTTTGGGAGGGACGAGCCCTCTCCTGCTCTGAGTTTCTCTTCCTGGCCGGGTTTCTCAGCGATGGGAGGGTGGGAAGCAGCTGCTCAGGGGGGGAGGCTTTGTTTGCAGGAGGTGTTTCGGTTCAGCGAGCGGATGCGATTTTGGGGATGGGACCACCGAGGGGCTGAGTCCACACCGGCTCCCACGGCCATCAAGAGCCAGGACAGCGATGCAGGAAGGACCTGGAGTTCAGGGGGTGCGGGAAAACTAGGCAGGGACTGGTTTGGAGCACCACATTTTTAGAGGATCATAAGAAACTCATCTGGAGGAGGCTCTAAGGGGTCATCTAATTTCGCCCCTCATTTTCTGATGAGATCAAGTGCAGCTGAAAGGCGTTTCTGTGGTTTGGAGCCTGTGCTTTATATGGACATCCTGATGGATCGCTTTGGATCCAGCAATGCCACAGAAGAAATAACGTGGGGTTAGCTCATGTTAAGCTGTCAGAGCAAAGGAACCTCATTTTTAACTCCTGATCTTCAGCGGGAGTTTAACCCAAGTGATTCCCTTTCCATTGCTGCCTCTCTGAGGGGCCCCTTTTTGTGTGAAAAGGTACTGAAAGTTGGAAGGATCTTTGTGCTGAGCTTCACACAGCCAAGTCGTGCTCTTCAGCACGAGGGACAAGCACCAGCCACCAGCCAGAGCTCCTCGTAGGAGTTTTCAGGCTGGGGCACTTCTTCCCCCTCCCCTCTCTCTGCTGTCAGCTCAGGTTTCTCAAAGCTTACACTGATATTAAATTTTAATGACTGGAATCAAATGAGCTACAGTTGGGATGTTACTAAACATAACAGCTTTGTTGATTCAGTTTAGCAAACAGCAGAATTCCCCAGGGAAGTGATTCCCCGGGTATGGATGAGAAGGTGGGGGTCACATGAAGACGCAGGGGGTTTCTCCATCACGTGCTCTCTGGTGTCAGCAACCCCTGAGCTGGAAAACCCTGAGTTAGAACCCTTCCTCCCAAAAATTGTGAAACTAATGGGATAAAGCTTGGTCTGCTCAGTGCAAGTGCCTCATCCTCCTTTACACGCTGAAGAAGCAGAGGTGAGGTTTGCTGGTTTGGAACTGTGGTGCCAGAAAGCCCCAGGCATGGGCTTGTCCTGTCTGGCCAAAGAGCATCCATCAGCCTGGGCCCACGGAGCTGATGGAATCAAATTTTTGGGTGTTTTGGGGAAGACATCTGTGCTGGGGTAGCTTGGCCTCCTGGCTAAGCGAGCTGGGCTTTGTTTATCTTTTACACAGTGGATTTTGAACTTGGCTTTCAAAGCCTGGCTGGTGCTTGGTGTTGGCAACTCTGAGCTGGGACCTTCTTTGATTCGCCATGTTGTTTTTGGACAAATTCTACCGTTGCCACATTTCACCTACAAAGCAGAGAGTAACACTCAGCCCTGGGTCAAAGGCGCTGGCAGAGATTTTGGGGCTCGCTGCAGTACAGAGCAATGCTTGGGAGGGAAGAATGCTGTTCCCTCCCCTTTCATAGAACCATGGAATGGTTTTGGTGGGAAGAGGCCTTAAAGATCATCTAGTTCCTACCCCCCTCCTGTGGGCAGGAACACCTTCCACTAGACCGGGTTGTTCCAAGCCCCGTCCAACGTGGCCTTGAACGCTTCCAGGGATGGGGCAGCCACAGCTTCTGCGGGCAGTCGTACCAGAGAAGACTCTCAGTTGTATCATGTCAGAATGGTTTTCTTTGCTGGGAACACTTTGTCCCCGTGAGGAAGATGAGAGCAGGATCAGCTCAGCCTGCATTCCTTCCACGTTGCACTCAACAGTCAGAAGGGATTTCTGCAAGAGCCCGGAGAACTCGACCCAAAACATAACCCAAGGAAAAGCGTCAAACTTGACATAACCCAACGGCCGCCGTCGCGTCCTGACAGGCACAGGGGTGGTTAGTGGCGTGTCCGTGTGTGTGGCTGGACCTCCATGGATTTGTTGTCCCCCCTCCTGATGCCGCCCGGGCCCCGCAGCTGCGCTTGGCCCGCGGCTGCCGCGGGCGTTGGGGCACGGCGGAGGAATGCGGCGAGCCGGGACCTGCCGCAGCTGGCACAGCCGGGACCTCTCCTCCCAGGGTTAATTAAACCCCACCCTGGCCCAGCCAGAGAGGAGGAGGGGGGGGAGAGGAAGGGGGTCTGTCGCATCATCCGACCTTCAACGGGAGGTGGCTTTGCCAAGGCAGGTTGTGCGGAATGGAGGGATGACGTGGGATTTCAGGCCTCCTGCCTTTCCTCCTGGTGTGTGGGTTTTTGGGGAGGTTTGGTTGAAACTGGTGTTGCTCAGTGCAGTGAACTCGGGCACTGTTCTGTCGCACCAGTAAGGGTTTAATGCTGGATGATGGAGGGAGGGAGGGAGAATCCCTAGACAGCAATAACTGAAGCCGCACTCCCTTTTTATTTTAGAGCAGGTCAGGTCGTCCAGGGCCCGTGCAGCCCTTGTGGCTTCCAGCACCCTCTTTGTCTGCTTGAATAAAAAAAATTCAGGAAAGGAATCCCGGGGGGGTGAT